ACCCACCCCACATCTCTGGCCTGTATCCCAGTTTTTCTATGCATAAATAAATAAATATTTAAAATAAATAAAATTAGGGCCTCCCTGGTGGCACAAGGGATTAAGTCTCAGCACTATGAAGTTATCTGCAGCCACTACAGCATGAGTTTGATCTCTGGCCAAGGAGGTGACCCACATAGTGCTGCAGACCTCCTGACCAGCCCACTGCTCCCTTCCACAGTGTATTTCAGTAGACTTGCCTGTTCTGCTCCCCACTCTATCTCTGGTGAATCCTATCACCCCTACACCTCTGGTCTGTACCCCAGTTCTTGCATACATACATAAATAAATAAATAAATAAATCTTTAAAAATAAAAGAATAAATAAATAACATCTTAAAGAAAAAAATCCTATGCATATTATCCTTTACAATCAGGTTGGAAAATACTATCAGAGAAGCTTGGTAGCAAGAACTGATTTGGAACTCTATCAGATAAGCATATAGTTGGCCCTTCCTATCTGTGGGTTCTAAATCTTCAGAATCAACTACCCACGAATGGAAAATACTACTGTATAGATGAGCACAGTAACAGATAACCTCTGTTGGCTGAGCTTATACTGAAAACATACAGACAGGTATTTTCTTATCATTATTCATCAAACAATACAATATGACAACTTAAAGAGATGACTTAAAGTATATGGGAAGATATATATAGTTAATATGCAAATACATTTTATACAAGGGATGTGAGCATTTGCAAATTTGGTATCCTCAGAGATTTAGAATCAATCCCTTATGGATACCAAAAGACAACTGCAGCAGTGGAATAGACAGTAGAAAGTAGCAGAATTCAAGTGCTAGCTTTATGATTTAATAATTACATGACCGCAGGTCCCAGTTTTCCCAACTACAATTTTAGGATGATACTTGTTAAACTTATTTTTTTAATACTTGTTAAGTTTAAGTGAAATATTTCACTTAATGTGCTTACCTACCACAAAATAAGAGCTCAATGACTATTTGCCATTACTAATAGTAATATGAGTACTGTTATCCATTGTAGCATCTAAAGGGACAGTGTAATGGGAAGAATCTTGCTTTCTCTTAAATCAAACCAGACTTTGGTCAAATTTCTTTTTTTTTAAAGATTTATTTATTTATGCATACAGGCCAGAGGTATAGGGGCTGTGAAAGGATTCACCAGAGACAGAGTGGGGAGCAGAACAGGCAGATGTACTGAAATACACTGCCAAGGGGAGCAGCAGGTAAAACAGCAGAGGTCTGCTGTGCCATGTGGGTCACAGCCCAGGCTGGGGGACTGAACTGCTGAAGGGGCTGCTGATAGCTTCACAATGCTCCGCTTTAACCCACTGCACCACTAGGGAGGGCCCCTGGTCAAATTTCTTAATCTCCTTTATCTTAGCTTCATTCGTCAATACAATATACTTCACAGAGTTGCTATGATGATTAAATCGCACACGTTATAAATACATAAAAACCCACTACAATGCCTGGTACATAATAGAACCTTGTTACTGGTTAGTGAACCAGGTAGAGAAGGGTCAGGAAGCTTTGAGGAGGAAAGTCCTGACAGCACCAGACTTCTGACACAAATAGAACCTCAGTCTCTGTAGAAAACTTCCAAAATATTAAGTTTCTTAAAATTTCTGAAGCCAGCTACATCCCAACAGTGGACCAATTGAGCCTATTCTCTTCCCAAATTCACTTATCCTCTAATGTTCCCATCTCAGTTAAGAGTGGATTCTACCTCCCTAGGGTCATGTATCTAAATTGCAGACCCTCCTGTCTAGTCCCAAGGCTATGAGCCCAGTTGGGTCATTTATTATTTTGTCCTTTGACTAGAAATAGCATCCTCCCCCCTTCTTATGGAAAAACAGCTCCTCCCCCACAGACCAGTAAGTTGGAAGGTGACTGTCAACCACAGTGCTGGCCCTCTGACCTAGGAGCTGGTCCCTTATTAAACCAACAGAGAACTTCCCCAGGATTTTTTAATTTGTCAGTAGAGAAAAGCAACAGAACTTCTTTAATGAAGTTGGAAAATGTGAGCTAGGATCTACCAGGAGCCAAGGTTCCATCCTTCTAGGAAAAGCCCCTTTGGAAAAGTAAAACTAACTTATAAGAGAGACAGTGAAATGAGACAATGGATGATCAAATACAACCAGCTGCATTCATGCTCTTCGTATTTTTTGGTATCACGTTCCTACAAATTTACCTTTTTGCCTAGGCAAGTTCAAGTGGGATTTCTGGATATCACAAAACACATAAAGACAAGAATGTGGCTATACCTGGGAGATGACTAGAACCTGGAACTCACTGCCACCTGTGAGCCTTGCTTTCTAGCATGGTCCGTGGGCAGATGACTCAGTCACTGGAACTCTCAAGTATTACAACCAAGACCCTCTCAGCCAGCCTTAACTCTTTTGACCACAGCAAATGGAGCTTTTAATTCAAATTCAAAATCCTTCAGAATTTGTCTTCAATCTGCCTTTTAAACTAATCTCCCACCACATACTTGCATAATATCCACATTCCAGTCACAGAATTTACCCAATAACTCAAAAATATACACATGCCTTAGTGGTGCCATGCTTTGTTCCTTCCCGCTGTCTCTAATGAGCTCTATCTGTGTCCTTTCAAAATTCTTGTAATTAAAGGCCCAACTAAAAAATTCACTCCCATTGCTCTCCCTCCTCTCAGAATAGGTTTCTTTGTCCTTACCACTCCTGCCTATATCCTGATTATAGTTTCTTGTGAATGTTTTATCGCTCTTACCAGATTTTAAAATCTTCTTGGTCTGAAGCCTTAATATATTCATCTTTCTATCATTCAGTACTTAATGTTAATACCTTACATTTCAGAAATGTTGACTACATATCATTAATCAGTAAAAACTAAATAACAATGGAATGCCTCCTCTACCTGAAAAATAACTTTTAAACCTACCCTCATTAATAGCACCAGTATATTTCTTTATGAAATAGAAAGCACCCACTTAAAAAAATAGTTATAATCCTTCTCTTTACCTTTGGGACAAAGTCAGCCTTAAGAAAGGAAATCTCTACTGTTGGTGGCAACACCATTAAATATAGCCAAGCGAAGTGTAACATTTTATGCCAAACCAGATTTTCTTCAATATAATAAAATGGCAAAAGATTTCCACACACTTTCATCACTGACTTCAAGCAAGAGGGAGAAGATATAAAACAAGCAGCTTGTTTTTCTGATGTTCATTACCATCGTACAATCCCAAATCAACAGATTTCCCAAATCACAACACAGATTTAGAGTGCATATCATCACAGCAGAATTGACATTCACAGGACAGCAGACATAGAAAGTAGAAGCAAGTATTCATCAACCATATAAACCATTCAGCAAAACAGGTGCTCTGAGATTAACTTCACATGCCCTCAAATCTGGTGTGCCGTTCCAATGCAGCTGACCATGTTTACATAGAGGACTTCCAGTCCACTTTGAATTACTACCAGAATGAGCTAAAAGTTCAGTGTACTAAGAATTCCTGCAAGAGAAATCTCTTTCTAGAGCTATGGAATACCAAGGTAGCTACAGGCTACAGATAATCATAAAAGTAGATACTTCCATATAACCTGTTAAAACTGGTATTTGGAGGCAAATACACAGCAGACATGCAGAAGCTCAGTATATCTGACTTCCCTAATCAGTACACTAGATTAAATTGATAATAAGTCTGACAAAGACTCCTATGACCTGGTCTAGGATATAATATCCAACATAATTACATATATAGTGATGTAATCCTACAATATGGTCAAATAAATTTTCATTAGGTATTTACAATTGAAAAGTTTCCTACTTGGCACTATCAGGAGGAAGGTAACAAATATTTACCAAAGATTAATTATGTTCCAGGTGCTTTTTGGCACATCTTATCTCACTTAAAACTCACAACAATCTTGTCCACTTTTGATAGTCTAGAGGCTAATAAATGACAGAGCTAGGATTAAACTTACATCTAGCTAGCTGATCTCCAAATCCATATCCTGTCCACTAAACCACACTACCTCCTGTCTACTTTGCTCTGATAATATACTTTAAAAATGGAAGGAACTAAATGCAGTGTGGTATCCTGAATTAAGTGGTGGAAAAGACATTAGTAGGAAAAGTGGTAGATCCAAATAAAGCTTAGAGTTCATCCAATAGTATCACACCAAAGTTAATTTGTTTGGGCAAATCTACCACCATGATGTAATAGGTTAACATTATGGGAAACTAGGTGTAGAATAGACAGACACTTTCTGTATCTTTTTGTAATGTTTCTGCAAGTCAACATTATCCTAATATACAATGTTTTTTTTTTTTTAAATTCAAGGAAGTTGTGAATCTCTTGTATTGTCCTGAAGTGTGATACCTAACTAGGTATTTCCAATTGGGTGGAAACACATAGTCTTTCTTAGGATTCATTTTATAGCTACCAAAGATGTGAGTACTGGCTTCATTTGGGTAGTATAAATTCAAGTAAGTCCAAAATCAAATCATATCATGGCTGACTAGCAACAAAATGTAACCTGTCCACACAAAAGAAAACTTCACCAAGCTCATCATGACAGCAGATGACCAACACAGCTGCTTATGATATGCTGAAGTAGGCAGGTACCGGTAATTGGGGAACAGAAACAATACAAGGCTATCCTGAAGTAAAAGCTGGGATGATGAGTTAAAATGCTGGATCTTGAGAAAAAAACACCAGCAGGCATACCTGGTTGAAGATGCAGTAAGAAAAGCAGTGACAGGTTCATTTTTTATTTTTTATTTTTTTTTAGTAAAGCCCTCGTGTAAACCATGAAGGAACTGTGAATAATAGCAAACTCTGCTCCCTGGCACCTCACCTGGAACCATCTGTCTGTGCTATGGGAAAGGGTTACTGATTCCCTACTGATCTCCTCCAAGTCACCTGCACACAGAGAATATATCACCTTCAAGTGACTATTCACTCACCTAGAAAATGTTTATATAGAAGACTTAAATTTCTATTCTACTGTTATAAGGCTTGGCTCTCTTCCACACTACTTATTCTTGATAAACATATAGTTAAATATTCTATGCTACTAACTAAATATGTTTTGTTGCATTTATGTCCAACTCAGTTGGGTTACCAACCCTCCAGATGACTTAAGGTTAAATACATTTTTTGAAGACTTCTTGCTTTTGCCTTCTCCAGGAGCTATTTATACAGTTTCAGGTTTTCAAGCATTTCCCCTTGGAATTTAAATTTACTATAAATGGTTTCCCTTTAGAGCATTCCCTAGTATCATTCTATTCTCGACCTTTTGGAAGACAAAAATCCTTGGTAAAGACATCTGAAATGGAGCTGACAGAGAGAAAGGAGATACCTGGAAAGCTTTGGAACTGTCCCCTTTGAAATTTTGTCATCTTGATGCTGAAAGTGGTCTCTTTGTTAAGAGTTTAGCATCCAGACCTTAAGGCCACACAATTAATAGTCACACTGGAATCGTAGGGACTCTCTTTGAAAGAGTCTGTTGTCCAGTTTTCAGGCCGCATTAGGTAATTTCCCGCCCAGAAGCAAGGCCTGAAAAGAATGTCGACGTTTCCCTTCAGGTATAGGTGCCTGGGGGTCAGGGGGAGAGGGAAAGGCGAGGGGTGGAGTGGGAGGCGGGTGATCGACAGGGATAGAAACGGTGTCTCCTCCTCCCTCTGAATGTGAAATAGCCAATGAGGTGGCGCGGCCGGCCCGGCCCGGCCGCCAGTGCCATATAGTATGCAGCAACCCGAGGAGTCACGTTGGGGGAACAGCAGAAAGCAGCTATCCTTTTACACTACTTTGCTCTAGCAGCTATCTTAATGGTGACTGCGTGGCCGGGGGGAAACCTGATCGGCCAGATCCAGCCGAAACCGGGAGGGAGGGAGTGGGCTTTCCGGAGGGGGGAGGAGGGAGGGAGACGAAGAAGGAGGAGTAAGAGAGGGGGAAAGAAAGAGGAAAAGAGTGCGAGGGAGTGAGGGAGGGAGGAAAATAAACAAAAAATGTCCTCTTCCTCCCCCACCGGGCAGATTGCAAGTGCGGCGGACATCAAGCAGGAGAATGGGATGGAAAGCGCCTCGGAAGGGCAGGAGGCGCCCCGAGAAGTGGCGGGGGGCGCGGCGGCGGGGCTGAGCCCGTCGGCTCCTGCCCCTTTTCCCCGGGAGCCCGGGGACGCCGCGGCCGCAGCCGCCAGGGTGAGCGGAGAGGAAGGGGCAGTGGCGGCGGCGGCGGTCGGAGCGGCGGCGGATCAGGTACAACTCCACTCGGAACTTCTGAGCAGGCACCACCACGCCGCGGCCGCCGCCGCCGCCGCCGCCGCCGCGCAGACCCCACTGGCCTTCTCGCCGGACCATGTCGCCTGCGTGTGCGAGGCGCTGCAGCAGGGGGGCAACCTGGACCGCCTGGCCCGGTTCCTGTGGTCCCTGCCCCAGAGCGACCTGCTACGTGGCAACGAGAGCCTGCTGAAGGCGCGAGCGCTGGTGGCCTTCCACCAGGGCATCTACCCCGAGCTCTACAGCATCCTCGAGAGTCACAGCTTCGAGTCGGCCAACCACCCGCTGCTGCAGCAGCTCTGGTACAAGGCGCGCTATACCGAGGCCGAGCGAGCCCGCGGGCGGCCGCTGGGCGCCGTGGACAAGTACCGGCTGCGCAGGAAATTCCCCCTGCCCCGCACCATCTGGGACGGCGAAGAGACGGTGTATTGTTTCAAGGAGAAGTCGCGCAACGCGCTCAAGGAGCTCTACAAGCAGAATCGCTACCCTTCGCCCGCCGAGAAGCGGCACCTGGCCAAGATCACCGGCCTCTCCCTGACCCAGGTCAGCAACTGGTTCAAGAACCGCCGGCAGCGCGATCGGAACCCCTCTGAGACCCAGTCCAAAAGGTGAGCACCAACTTTCCTCCTCCTCCCCCCTCTCTTCCCCCCCACCCCTTCCCAGCTTTCTTTTCCTCCGAGTGCTCGCAAACATGGCGCTTACCTTCCCCACCAGCCTGGTCCGGCTGCCCACCTCTCCCCGCCCCCCACCTCTCTCCTCGATTGGGGAAGGGGGGCGGTTGTAGTGAGAGGCGGGGGAACCGTCCTCCCTCCCCTCCCCCTCTTCCCCCCCAGAAGTTTCTGGTCGCCCGCCTAGGACTCAGTCCCCGCCCCCACCTCGACTGGTCACTGCTGCCCGGTTTCCCACCCCCATTCCTCTGGCTTTGAAGTTGCCACTCTCCCGGGTTCTGGCGGGGAACGTGTGTAGGCGCTGGAAAGGAACTCTTGCTGCTGCCCGAGGCCCGCGGAGGTGGCCAGAATTGCCCGAGGTCTGCACCTCCACGGCGGTCACACCGCCCCGGCGCGCGCGCTCCCTGACCCCTGGGGTTCGACTGCCCCACCCCCCACCCCACCGGCCTTCGCTGGAGGTCGCCGAGTGCGCTCTGGAGGGAGGAGAGTGTTGTTGGGGACTAGCCACCCAAAAGGGGGCCTGAGGACGTCGAGTTTTTATCTGACAGAGTTAATCATTCACCCTGCCTACTGTGGTTCCCTTCGCGGCCGCGGCAACGTGGGGTGTTGGTGCCGCTCGTCTCTACTGTGTTTTGAAACCTGATTCTGAGCTTCTTCGGATCGGATTTCAGCGCCGCGGGGCTAGTGGGGCTGGAGGGCCGCTTCCTTCTCCCCCACCCCACCCCCCAACTCCCCTACAATACACTGCAGGCTCCCTCCTAAGACAGTTGTTGGGGGTAGAGGTAGGCTGGCATGGGCGGACCGGACCGCTGGGAAGGAATGGGGGCGCTATCAATTCCTCACCGCCTTGAGCGCCCACCCTGGCAAGTTTGAACTTTCTGACTGGCAGGTCTTTTTGCCCTATTAGAAAATAACAGGTTTTTCACCTCGTTTATGCGTTCTCCCAACTCAGACACCTGGTGTGTATGTCTGTCTGTATTTTTTTTGGAAAAGTAAAGTAAGAAGGTCGCCTAAAGTGCTGGTGGCTTTAGCCTCGCGGGGATAGGAGGGAAAGAATCCAAAAGCTGCTGAAGATTCTGCTCTGGGAAGGAATCTGGGAGGTGAGGAGTCCGGCTGGGCCAGACGAAGGTGATCACCCTGAGCATTCCAGAGCCGGCCGCGGCTCGCCCCGGCCGCTAGCGCCCTTGTACCCCTGCGGGGCCCGACGGCTCCGGCGCGACTCGCCGCGGGCAAGGAGGGAGGCGCTGTGCCCTCGTCTGGCCTCGCGGTAACCAAAACAAAACGCACACGACTATCCGTGCGCACCCTTCCGCTGACTTGCGGGGAGAGCAAGTGGAGACGCGTTGGTGGCTCTAAATTGTCTGCCCCGCGGCCCGCTAGCTGCTAGGAGCCCCAATCTGTGGGGCCTGAGACTAGAGAGTGGGGAGTGAGTGCCACGCTCAAACCGGCTGCCTTCAGCTTCCGCTTCCCCGCCGGCGGGCACGTTCCTGGGTCTCCCTTGCCACACTGCCAGCCTGGCCCCTCCAACGCCCCTCCATCAACTAGACCCACCACTCCCCTCCCCCCTGCAGTTGCCTGATTTAGCACCCCCCACCCCCAATCTACCTCCCACCCGCTCCCGGGTGAGTCACCGTCGCTGTCGGCCACGGCTGCTCAGACTCAGCTCGTAAATCAAAGCGCTTTCTGCGCTCCTGGCCCCGCAGCCCAAAGCCCGGGTAATCCTCTCCCCTCTGCTTGAAAGTGAACGGACTTGCGGGGCTCTGCGGAGACGTTGTGGGTACTCTGCTGGGTCAAGTCCTGCCACTCTTCCAAACTGCCTCTCTCCTACTCCCCCCCACCCACCAGCTTCTGACCAAATGGGAAACTCCCAACTGTCCTCTCGGGAATTTGGTATTTCCCCCAATGACCCCTAGTAGGGGGTGAGGACCTGAGTCCCTCTGGAACTGAAATACTGCGGGTACTGGGGAACTGTCTGAGGCCGGTGAGTGACCCCACACCCTTTCCCTCCCACCTCACCAGGGCACTGGATGGTGTGTGTTAAATAGGCCCCTATGGCTTCCTTTGGATTCAAAGGCGACTGCACATAACTGTTCTTGGTTTGAAAGTGCCTTTCCTACAACAAGGACAGCCACTTTGTTGAATGAGAGAGTTGTCAGTCTGGTGGAGTAGAAGTTTGGGAGCAGGTGAGAAAATAATCTCTTGTTAACTAACTGGCAAACAAAACTGAACACTTCCCACCTCCTGCTCCTTTAGCAACTTCATCTACCTTCAAAATCATACTAATCTGAATTGATTGGAGGGGAGGGGAAGGTGTTTTGAACAGGAAAGATTGACTAATGAATTTTTCCTATGATAGCAGACTATTTAACAATTATGCTATGAAAACATTTGTACAATTCTCCTGTAAATCTGTAAACTGTATTTACATCTTTCAGCTCTCTGCACTTTCCCAAAATGTATTAATAGTAATTTATTAGTAGTAAAAATGAGATATGAGAGTATGTCTTCACAGATTCTCTGGTCCTGCTAAGAGGCCTCATAGTTTAAACAGAACTTAAAAAAAAAAACCCTTGCTGTGCTTTCTTTAAATACTGCCTTTAATGAGTTTAGAGACTGGTTCTCCAAACAAATGGTGCTATGAAGAAAGTCACCCCTCACCTTCTGATGTCCTGATCTTCCCCCTCTTTGTAGTGAGTCAGATGGTAATCCCAGCACTGAAGATGAATCAAGCAAGGGACATGAGGATTTGTCTCCACATCCACTCTCTGGTTCATCTGATGGTGTCACCAACCTCAGCCTTTCCGGTCACGTGGAGCCAGTATACATGCAACAAATTGGAAACGCTAAGATATCGTTAAGCTCTTCTGGAGTTTTGTTGAATGGAAACTTGGTACCTGCAAGTACTTCACCTGTCTTCCTTAATGGTAATTCTTTTATTCAGGGACCCAATGGAGTTATCCTTAATGGATTAAATGTGGGAAATACACAGACAGTGTCATTGAACCCACCAAAAATGGCATCAAACATTGTAAGCAATGGTATATCCATGACCGATATACTGGGGTCTACCTCCCAGGATGTGAAGGAATTCAAAGTCCTCCAGAGTTCTTCAACTAACTCGGCAGCCACCACCTCCTACAGCCCCAGTGCCCCTGTGTCATTCCCAGGGCTGATCCCCAGCACTGAGGTGAAACGAGAAGGCATTCAAACAGTAGCTTCCCAGGATGGTGGCTCTATAGTGACTTTTACTACACCAGTGCAAATTAACCAGTATGGCATTGTCCAGATCCCCAATTCCGGAGCAAACGGCCAGTTCCTTAATGGGAGCATTGGATTCTCTCCACTGCAGCTGCCTCCTGCTTCAGTGGCAGCTTCACAAGGTAAAAGTCCCATTTGGTACCATAATGCACCCGTGAATCTTTAGTCAGCAGCTGTAAATGACGCAGTTGGTGAGAGCAATAGATTGATGTTACTGTTCAGGTACCTAATTGGCTGCCACTGCTACAGAATAGCCTTTAATTGTAATACCCAGCTTGCTTGATTACCTTGCATCATGGGGATGGGCTTTTATTTTCCTAATAACTGAATGGAAAAATACGTTCATAGCAAGTCCTGCCAGTTCTACAATTATAGAAATATGATAAGTCAATAGGTGCTTACAAAATAACCATTGCCTGACATTTACGATTAAAAATTAATAATATGGCTAAGAACACAAAATTAGTCGAGCAGTTGGTAAGAATGTGCACACTTCACCTTAGCATCATTTATTTGACCAAAAAGTATTTTAGAAGCAAAAGCTAAAAACACTGGATTAATATGCTTAATTCATATTAGCCCTATAATCAGGACTAACAGACCCAAAAGAAATTCAGAAAAATATCAGATGGGCTATCCATTGTTCTGCATGTACATTTGTCCCAGAGACATATGTATGGGTTTACTTATGAAGGGAACCAGCCCTAGGCTTTATTTTGTGTTTTTGTGTCTTTACTAAAGGCAATTCTATGGAGAAAGCACTGAGCTTAAGTTAGGAAACCTGAGGCTGACATGCCGGTTTTTCACCAACTTTAAACATGTCTGGATGGCTCTGCATCATTCTCTCTATACAGAATGGTTAGAAATTGACAAGGGAGGTTGCATAGATCTTTAAATTCAGGAGTGGGAGATAATAGTATGTTTGCCTTCCTATAAGCAAATATGAAAAGTCCAGATTTTTACAAAAGCATCGTTTACAAAATAAGAGTGATTGTTTAAAGATCAGCATCCTGTAAAGTGATTTTGTCCAAAAAAAAAGCTCAATTTTTGCACAGCTCTTCTGTTTCCACTGTTATGGTCTACTTCAGCTTATTTGAGACAATTGTGGAAAAACTGTTGTGGAGTGAGTTTCATTCTGTACATTTGTTTCTCTTTAGGTAAAATAGTAGTAAGCCAGTAGTCCTGCAACACACTATTCGTTTCTACATTGTTCTGAGTTCTGAAAAGAGTTGAACTAAATCACTACCCAAATTAGGGCAAACATGAGAACCACAGGGAAAACCAAAATGCTTACTTTTATATTTAATAAAACTTTTTACTCTTCAGAAGTATTTCCAAAGAGTAGGTAACATTTTAAGAACAATTTGAATAAAAAGCATGGTATATATGTGGGGAGAGGAAAAGAAAAGCTGCAATACTTCAATATAATCTAGAAAAGTAGGCCTCCCTGGTGGCACAGTATTATCACCACTGTGGCCTGAGTTTGATTCTTGGCGGAGGAACTAACTCATACCTTGCATCAGACCTCTCCTGTCTAGTCTGCTGCTTCTTCTTAACAGTACTTTTCAGTAGATCTTCCTGTTCTGCTCCCCACTGTGTTTCTGGTGACTCCTACCTCTCTTCCCCACACCTCTGGCCTAGAATCCATTTCTTGTATGCATAAATAAAAATAAATCTTAATCTAGAAAAGTGCTACCATAGAAAATTATTACAAACTGATAGCTGATTGTTAATGGGACATTTAATAAGACTAAGAACTTAACATTTTCTTTTTTAAAGATTTGTTTACTTATGCATACAAGAACTGGGGTACAGAATAGGTAGATTGACTGAAATATACTGTTGGGGGGGGGTCAAGAGAGATCTACCACCAGTGAAGGCCCCAAGAATAGCATCTTCATTTAAAATAGCCAAGATCAAATGACAGACTGCCAATATTTAATTGTCTGGATAAGTTGAAAGCATAAGTTTAACCCAAATAAGTCTAGGAAGCAACAGTCCTTTATTTCATAGTAATTGTGCATTGTAGTTCTAAATACAGCATTTGGGGATCAGCCTTTCTGAAAAACAGTTATTGAGCTTTTCTTTTTTAAATCTAGTCTAGGTTTATTTTTAATCTTCAAGGTAGATTATCTTATTATAGCTAGAATTTATTTGGAAAGACACTATCTCCATCTTTTACTCTATAATCTGAGAAAGTATTCTTATCACCATTACAAAATTACTATGTGACTTTAAAATTGGAAATTTTTTAATGGTTTTGAAATTATTGTTCAATTTACAATTCAATTGCAGTTGTAATTTACAATTCAACTCAATTTACAATTCAATTACAGATATGCTGCTTTTTTCCCCTTTATTTATATGTTACCACTTTCAGGAATGTTATATTGAATAGCAGTTGAAAACTGTTAGAAATACTGTTTGCATTTTCTGGGGTTTTTTGTTTAAAAGCATTGCTTTGCTTAAAAATACCTGAGATATAACAACACTATGACATTTATTTGTCACTGTAGTGAGTAATATTAAACCGTTATTCAAATATTTCAAGAAGGAAAATGCTTTAGGTAAATTATCTTTAACATTGGGCTGTTTTCTCAAAATGGTAAAGTGTTTACTGAACATCTAATTCATGATCAGAGTAAATGTTATATCTGGATTATTCTGTCACAAAAGTCCCCCCACATCTACCTTTCCTTCAATAGTGAGGTCATGGCTACCATTTCACTACATTTAGATAAAAACTTAAAGCAAAGAGGTATGTTTGATGCTGGGGGGTTCTAATTCATCTGCTTTGGCTGAGTTACCTGATTTGAACATCTCACCTTCTCTTTCATTTCTTTTTTTGCTTCCAGTCTCTGCAGGCTATTATAGTGAAAGTCTCCAAAACACAAACCTTTTAGTGAAGGATTTGCTCTGGTTCCTTGTGTTAATCTAAATTTTAAAAAGCACACTTCATTTTTTTTCTAATCTTTCTCACTACAACACTGAGAATTCGGAATGACATAAAAGGAAAAGTAAAAACTCTTGAATGTTTTATTGACTTGTCATTGCTTTATGGTTAGTTTGGAACTTGAGTATTTTTTGCCACACTTGGTTTCTGAACCAGTAGTTCTCACTTACACTTGGTCATCACAATTATTAGATTAGTTAAAAATGCACCTGTTCTGGGCCCTCCCTGTGGCACAGCTGGTCAGGACTGAAGCTAGCACAGCCACTTAAGTATGAGTTCACTCCTCACCTGGGATGTGCTGCTTCCCCTCAGCAATGTACTTCAATGATCTGCCTGTTCTGCTCCCTACTCTGTCTCTGGTGAATCCTCTCACCACCTCTGCACCTCTGGCCTGTACTCCAGTTCTGTGTGCATAAATAAATAAATATAATTTTTTAAATGTTGCTATTTTAAAAAAATGCACCTGTTCTGAGACTCACCGAGTCAAACTCAGGAGCAGAACCTGGGAATCTGTAGTTTCAACTGCTCACGGTGACTCAGCTGAACCTGAGAAAACCATGTGTTACAAAGTAACTTGTTTTCTTTGTTTATCATTTCCATCAATGACACACTGTACTTTATTTTTTTATTTTTTTTTTTTTTAGGTAATATTTCAGTAAATTCAAGCACTTCAGATGGGAGCGCATTTACAAGTGAGTCTGCCACAGTCCAGCCAGGAAAGGTTTTCTTGAGCTCTCTTGCTCCCAGTGCAGTGGTTTACACTGTTCCTAATTCAGGCCAGACTATAGGGTCTGTTAAACAAGAGGGCTTGGAGAGGAACCTCGTATTTTCTCAATTGATGTCTGTCAATCAGCATTCACAAGTAAATGCAAACCTGTCTTCTGAAAATATCTCGGGGAGTGGTCTCCATCCACTGGCCTCCTCTTTAGTTAATGTATCCCCAAGTCACAATTTTTCCTTGACTCCCCCTAGCCTACTAAATCCCACTGAGCTAAATCCTGACATTGCTGATAACCAGCCAATGTCTGCACCTGTGGCAAGCAAATCTACTGTGACATCTGTCAGCAACACTAACTATGCAACTCTTCAGAACTGCTCCCTTATTACTGGTCAAGATCTGTTATCAGTCCCCATGACCCAAGCTGCCCTTGGGGAGATAGTTCCAACAGCTGAAGACCAGGTGGGTCATCCTTCCCCAACTGTCCACCAGGATTTTGTCAGAGAACATCGCTTGGTTCTACAATCAGTAGCTAACATAAAAGAGAATTTCTTAACAAATTCTGAGGGCAAAACAACAAGCAGTTTAATGATGCTGGACTCCAAATCCAAATATGTCCTAGAGGGCATGGTAGAGACTGTCTGTGAAGACCTAGAAACGGACAAAAAAGAGCTTGCCAAGCTCCAAACTGTCCAATTGGATGAAGATATGCAAGACTTGTGAACTTTATTTCTGCCCCCTTTTTTTTCTGGCAATAGGGGGCAAACCTTCTCACAAAGCCCTGAGGACATAAACATTTTCTGATTTGAAGAGAAATACTAGTTTTGCAAGTAAATGCATTCTGGAGACTTTGGATTGATCTACATGAAGATCACAGTTAAATATACAGGAATAGAACTGCAGTACTGCAGCTTTGTCCACATAATGTTCTCTTTTAAATAGATAGAAACACAGGAACAAGTTGAAATGTATCAAGTCAAAGTATATCATTTGGTTGACATAATTTTAAGGTCAAATGGTACTTGATAAATAATTTTTTAATTAAAAATTATATACCTAACAAAGTTAAGTATTGCTACAGAATATTAGAAACAATATGATTCTTTTTGTTTACTTTTACTCCATGGGCATTGATAAGGTTAAGAAACACAAGTGGTACTCCACACTATATTCTAAGGGTTTATTTTTGAATATATGCTTTTCTGTTTCTCAGCATTTTTTGTGAAAGTCTTGGTTTGTCTCTATACATTTCCAGATGTGGTTGTTAATAGTTCAGTGTGGCTGACAAAGTTTGCAACTCCACTAAAAACTCTGAAACAACAGTATGAGTGTAAATATATTAGTCCTATGAGCAAGGATTTGAGTAATTACAGTGAATTTTATTTATGCTGTATGTTTCTCTTATACTTCAGACACTATGAACTGAAAAGAAAAATGTTTTCTTACTGTTTAATTTATTTTTATTGTTTGAACAGGAAGTGAACATAATTATTTCCAACAAAGTTTTACTTTTTGTAGGATTTTGACTGATTTTTATCAGGAGTCTATTAAGATCAATAATTAATAACACTGAAATAGGAAACCTAACTCCCAATATTGGAATTTTGGTACTTTTTTCACATCCTTGTTCTTTATTTAGCAACTCTGATTCATTTAAATATGTTTTCTATATAATTCTATGTGCCTTTTTACCTTGTGGCCTTTTTATTGTTCTTACTAAGGTACAGAGGGTCAGCAAAAGCACTGACGGCTCTTTTCTACTCTCTATCAGGGTTAGTTTTACCATGAAATTGCTTTAAATCTGAAGAGCTTAAGTTTCACTTGTATTTTTATGTATGTTTATGATACAAATGGATGAGCAACTGATTATTGATGCATTCATTACAATGAAAATAATAATTATAGACTACCATGTAAAGTCAGCTCTGTAGTCTCTGAAAGTAACTATTTTAAAGCAAAGAATATGTAAATTCTTTTCAAGCAAAATGCTCTCCTATTAAAACTTAGGTCTCAAGTTTTAATTAGTTGTTACATGATGACATAGAACTGTTGTTTGCACTATATAATCATGCCTTTGAAAGTAAATCTTTTGGGTTTCTGTAAGAAGCTTGTTTGATAATATTGTAAGCTGTGGTTATATATTTTATCAGGACTCTGAACACAGGTATAATAATGCAAATACATTTATGTAGTGAGTAAAGCCTCTGGTCTCTAGAAAGCAAGAAAAGTAAGAAAATGATCTCTTCCAACATGACTTAGAGTTGAATATAAAGATGTCACCATGCCTTGCTTTCTTTAGGATCAGAACAAAGGGTCCACTCTAGATCTCTACATGGCCATCAGCCTGTTCAATATGGGCCACAGAGCATTTCAGTTTTGTTGTTACTACAGATGGAACTTGAAGGCATAGCTGAAGAGCCCTATGAAGAATTCCTCTCCCATCATTTTGATAAAGAACTTAGATCCCTTTTTTTTTTTTTTCAATCAAATTACTGAATGTTTCTAAACTGCTGAAACTAGTTTTTGTTTTGTTTTGGTTTGGTTTGGTTTTTTTTTTTCCCACAAAATCAGGTATTTGGAATTCCTTCCCCTCCACCGCTACTCATACATATTTTTCCTCCTTCAGATGGGCTGATTATGTTACTGAAAATAATTACATGGTCATATAGTGTAGTTTACATAAAAATTATGTTTTCCTCTTGATTGCTGCAGATATCAAGGTTTGTTATTTTAAAATAACCCATCTAATAAGGGAAATGGAAAGGATTGAAAGTTATATATGTTATATATATATAACAAGAACTTTTATATGTCTTCCAAAAATATAAAAAGCCTCTGTTCTATTCAGAGTTCTTCTTTTATCCTTTAAGAAAAAGATAGCACAAAACTTAAGACTTGCCTAGGAAATCCATTCATACTCAACATGATGTAATTATACCCTATAATTACTCAAGGTAGCTACACAATATACCAGGTAAGAATCAATGCACATTATAAAGAACGTATTGTTCTTTACTATTCTTTCAGTAAATAATAAGGGCCAGTTGGTATGTAGCCCATATATATGTGAATGAAATAAGATAAACCCCATGATCTCCTTGCACAGAATTGCAAATTTATTTTACTTTTTTTTTTCTTTTTTTTTTTTTTTTGCAATACCAAGGGCCAGATTCAGAACCCTTAGAGTTCATGTGGTAGAATTTCTCTCTTACATAAACCAATGCTTGAAGATGCTGCAAATGACCCTGTAATGATCCCCAAAGGGGAATCGAAACAGGGGTTAAGTAAAACTCCCTACAAACCCCAACCCCTGCTGCTGGCTGTGGAATTTTTGGTGTGAGCCTATCTATGCACTCTATCAGCCAGGATTTGGCATTTAGCTCTTAGTTACATCTCATAAAGGACAGTCTGTCATTTAAAGAAGGTGCATTTGTTCCTCAATCAAGCAAGAGCACCTGTGTTGTACTGTTTTATATCATGTATATTTATAGTAATAAAGAGACTGAAATGTACACGTTTTTGTGCCTTTCTTGTGTTATGAAAGGCAGGTAGACTTTATAGCCATAGATAAAAATCCATAGTTAAATTGCACACTGACCTTTAATCTCCCTGTATATGCCCTTGCATCTTGCATGTTTTTTAACATGGCTTACTGGGAATGTGTTGCAGCTGCCCTGCTACATGTTAGACAAGTGTGCGTTAAGACATAGTCACAGGTTCTTCATTCTTTAAGATGTTTTTGACAAGTCATCTCATGTAAAGATATAAATAATTCAGGAAAACTGGGGAAAAGAATTAACACTTTACAAATATGTTTCAGTCTTCCTAGAACTTAGAAGATAGAGCCTAATGGTTACTTTCTATCTAATTGATACACTTCATGTTAATTTAATGTTACCACCATACATTTTATTAATCAAAATTATATAGCATGTGACTTTTGGCTTTCAGGGTTCTCAATTTTTTTTTTATTCTTTTGTTGCATGTACTGTATGTTTGAAAGGCAACCAGTTATATATACTCAATAGGTTTTACTGTGCCTTACATAAAGAAGAAATCTATACAGAATGTATGTCATGGGGTGGGGTAACAGAGTCTTTACTGCACTGTTAGGTGATGGCACACAGAGCATGTCCCGGAACATTTCTGTGCTTAATTACCCAACCAAAGAGATCTAAAGTATGTATGTTGTACTGTAATAGGGGTTTATGCCTGGACAATTAAGTGTTTTATTTGTTTTCTGAAATGATGTGAACTTATTTTTCTAAACACTATGCTAAATAAACTTTATATTTATACATATCCTGTGTTGAAAAGTTATTTAGCCTTGGGGAGTTGAAAAAGAATATGGAAAAAAAAAATTACACCCCACCCATACAAACTGGCAAATATAAAGACAATAAATAACCATTTTGGACAATAAATGCTGTATAATACTATGCAAGTCACTTAACTATACCACAAACACAGCTAAATGAAAAGTTTTCATCCTCAACAGAAAGATGAGTCATTGCTTTGGGTGTCCCAAAATCAAATGCAGTGCTATGAAATTGAAAATAACAAAGGCCTTTCCTCCCCTATCTATTGAAAGTTAACCATCATCTCCCTTTTTTAAAAAAGATTTGCTGAGGTGGAGCAGCGGGCTGGTCAGGAAAGGTCTGCCACACCATGTGGGTCTGCTCAGCCAGGGATTGATCTCGTTCTGCAGTGCCTGCAATAACGTCAAAGTGCTGTGCTTTAATACATTGTACCACCAAAAAGGGCCCACACCATAATCTATCTTTAAAGCACTGCCATTAGCCAAAATCTGGTTATACCAAATTTGACTCTACCACTGATTTGATTTAAAGGTTATGGACAGGTTTGCATGCGGAAGACTTGGCCTTGATAAAATAAGGTCCTAATTTTAAAGTTAAATGATGTATATGCCTTCTACACTGCAACAAAGAGGAGACTAGGTAATAGTTCCTAGGTAATAAAGTAGATTGCCACCAACAGTACAACTACATTATGAAATTAATTTGATTGTCAAATTAATTTGATAGCTTTAATTTCCTATAATTAATTTGATATATTTGAAAGTTGATTAATTTCATATAATATGGTGATTTTTAAAAATGTTATTGTCTTTCAGTCTACCTTAAAGTTTTCTATGTAGCTAGAATAAATACAGTGTATGATGTCTCAGAGTAGGGTCAAAATAATGATTATGTTGTAGAATATCTAAATCAAACATTTTTTTAAAAAAAATGGCAAGGCCAGGCCTCCATGGTGGTGAAAGGAGTTAATTCTCAGCACCACTAAGCTGTCCACAGCCACTGCAGCAGAAGAATCCCTGGCCAACCAGGGAGCTGACACACATGACTCACCAGACCTCTCTGGCTCACCAGCTGCTCCTTTCAGCAATATATTTCAGTAGATTTGCCTGTTCTGCTCCCCCACTCTGTCTCTGGTGAATCCTCTTGCTCCTGCACCTCTGGCCTGCACCCAGCTCTTGTATGCAAAAATAAATAAATCTTTAAAAGAATTTGGCAAGGCCACTGACCAACTGACATTTTTTGTGGCTTAATGGAAACTAGTAATTTAAAAACCCCCCTCAAATGGAATTCAATGTATAATGTATAATTCCATCTCATTCTTCTTGTTTCTTAGAAATTATTATTTCTAAAATGTATTATTTCTTTGAAGAAATAATAAATGTGGCCCTCCTTGGTGGCACAACAGGTTAGAGGGTAGCACTGTGAAGCTCTCCACAGCCACTACAGCACAAGTTTGATCCCTGGTCAGGGAGGTGACCCACAAGGTGTTGCAGACCTCTCTTGTCTCACCTTTGCTCCCCTCAGCAGTATATTAGTCCATCTGCCTGTTCTGTTCCCCACTCTGTCTCTGGTGAATCCTCTCACTCCCTGCATGTCTGAGCTGTACCCGACTTCTTGTCTGCATAAATAAATAAATCTTTAACAAAAACAACTAAGAAATAAAAGTACACCTGGAAACAGTTTTCTGATTGTTTAGGAATTAAATATCTTGTTGCTACTGAGGGATTAAGAAAAAGTTTAACAAACACTAAATACTGACTTTACATTAAACATTCTGTTACATACTTAAAAAAATAAATCTTTTTTTAAAAAATAAATGTGGAAATTTACCTTTACATCTTACCATTTCTAACAATAGTTTGTGAATAACTCAGATAACAGATTCAGTGCTGTAAAGTCATTAACAAAGAAAGGGGAATGTGGGGACATACATTAGATTGGTTAAGGGAGGTCTCTGAGGGAGTAACATTTCAGTAGAGTAGTTGGAATGATGAGAGAGAGCTGGTAACGAGACCCAATTAAGAGTATTCCAGAGAGAGGGAAGAACAGGTAGAAAGGCCCTGAAGGAGGCCCTCCCTGGTGGTACAGCAGGTTAAAGCACAGCACTATGAAGCTCTCCACAGCCACTGTAGCTCAAGTTTGATCCCCAGCCAGGGAGCTACCCACATGGTGTGGCAGATCTCTCCTGTCTCTCCCACTGCTCCCCTCAGCAGTGTATTTCAAGTGGATCTGCCTGTTCTGCTCCCCACTCTGTCTCTGGTGAATCCTCTCACCCCCTGCACCTCTGGCCTGTACACCAGTTCTGTATGTATAAATAAATCAATCTTTAAAAAAAAAATAGTAAGCCCTAAAGGAAGATGATGTTTAGATCACAAAGTCAAGTCTCTGAACTCTCAGGGTCATGTGATGGGAGATCCAGTGACGGAGATAGACTGAAATCAGATCACAAGTAAAGTTTTATTGGACTATGTCAAATAATTTGGATTTCAGTGAGATGCAATGTGATTTATGGCTTAAAATATCACAAAACCAAGGAAGGGGCAGAAGAAGAGTCAGAAGATGGGAGGGAGGAACAAAAGGGACTAGTGTGATGGTTCATGGGTGCTATCACAGTGAGAGAACTACAAGGACTATCCCTGAAGGAAGGAAATTTATGTAAGAAAATAAATTTTAGGGCCTCCCTGGTAGCACAAAGTGTTAAGTCTCAACATTATCAAGCTATGGGAAACCACTGCAATGCGAGTTCTATCCCTGGCCAGGGAGGTGACCCACATGATATAGCAGACCTCTCCTGTCTCACTCTCTCTGCTCCCCTCAGCAGTGGATTTCAGTAAGTCCACCTGTTCTGTTTCCCACTCTGTCTCTGGTGAGTCCTCTCACCCCCTGCACCTCTAGCCTGCATCCTAGTTCTTGTATGCATATAAATAAAAACATATCTTTTTTTAAAAAAAGAGCAAATTATAAAAGGTGTTTAAAGAACACTTGGTAAGCACTGAAAAAAAAATTGCAAGCCTATTGGAAGCATGACATTGTAGGAAAAAAGTATGAGGGCAGGAATTAGTATTCTTTTTCATGTTTTCCTAAGCTGTTGGATGGGAACTACTTCAGAAGCTCTTGAAGTATGTGTGGCAGTTGGTCCCCAAGTACTTTCAGAATTTTGTGCTCTCTGAGTCTTCTATTTACTCTGCCTCCTGTTGTTAGTCAAAGCTGTTAGCTTTCTGCCTCAAGGGTGATTGTCAGTCTGAACCTGAGTCCTGGACTCCAGTCCTTCAGCTCTCTAATGAATATTTTCAGAATGTACCTATAACTTTACATATGAAAAGTTAAATTACTTATTATCTTTGCCCTAATTCTCCACTCGGCATTCCTCATTTCAGTGGCATTACTTCAAATGCTAGGAAAACAAAGTTGAAAGTATAGAACAATTGACACATAATTGCAGTGATGGGGTTAAGAGTCACACTTCAAGAAGGTATAAGTCCCTGTCTGCTCATAGAATGGAGTGGCCAAACAAAAAATCTGAGATTCACTCCAGAATCTAATTTCCTTTCTTCCCACCCCCTTCATTTGGTTACTATATCTCTCCAACTCAGTTCTTGTGCTATATTTGACTCTATCTACTCCATTTTTGGGGTCGCTGCTAATAATTTAGGGGCTTGTCATTGCTCAAATGAGTTAATTCTATCACCACCTACCTGGCATCCCAGGGTCTAGGACTCATTTCAGGCTAAATTACAACTACATTCAGATAGAACTTCCAGAATTCAAGACCCACATTGCCAACTTTCTAGCTTAAGTCCTTCAATGGTCCTCTGTTGCCTAGGAGATAACACTCAAACCCTTTAACAAACAAGGCCCCCAAGATCCAGGACCTACCTCACTGTCTAATAACACTCCCTTCCCTAAAGAGACCAGTTTATTTCTTACTTACCCCATCTCCATGGGTCACATCCTCCAGGAAGCTCTGCTCACCCTCATAAGTTGAATGGTACACGATCCATTCTATGATTTGACTGAGATTTATGACTTCTTGCAGTGTGACACTTAAGTTATGAGTCAACCCTTACATTCAACTTTGTTTCCCTAGCATTTAGTCTAGTACAACATAGTAGTCAGTTAAAAATTATTTGTCGAATGATGACTCAAACAATCATCCATGCCTTTAAATCATTTTCACTTGCAGTAAATTAGCA